AGAGGAATTCAATATTATGACAAGTGGGCTGCACAGTGCTTCAGCTGGCTCTTACAGGATCCATGGCGATATTACAGCTTCAGTTTTGGAAAACTGTACTAGAAGAGATCAGCTTATTCAGCATTTATAAGCTTTTCAAAATTTCCTCTAATTTCATTTTTTTCGAATAGCTTTCGTTCGTGTTTCGTTATCATTTACACTTGTAATACCACTCTTCTGTCCTATTAATATCTGTTAATACCCTATTAATACCACCTCACCCCATCCACCTCACTCATATGTAGATATAAACAAATCGGAGATGTGTAAGTTCTATTCAGTTGTGTATGTGTAAATTAAAGTCTTTGAAAACGTAATAAGTTTTACGAAACGCGCTCAAGTGTCGCGTCAGACTAGAAATAAAAATGAATTTTGGAGAATTGATTTTTGAATTACCACCAACAGTGAAAAGAAATGTACGAAAGATTGAGAAAATTCGTGTTAGAATCATTAATCTTACTTTTTCGGTCATATTTAATAATATATGTCTACTGAGATATTTATATACACTGAGAGGTTTACCTCGATTCTCGGTGAATATACACCAAGAGTTTACTCTAGTCCTGGACTGTGTTCTGGACTACAGTATACTCGCTGGTTGGGCAGTAAGGTATTGTGGTGGCCTTAATAACCCTCCAGAGGTTCATAGGACTTTAAGCAAAAAACCCAAACCCACCAAAACTGTTAACAACTCTCAACAGTACGACGCATTAACCAGCTGTCCAACGAGGCTAACTTTGCCGACTCTAGACTCAAGTTCTGCCTCTGGAAGCTGCTAGAGAATGGAAGGGAGAAGTAGAGACTCAGATGTGGAAGATAATCGCTGACGAGATGAGAAGGTCAGGTGGAACCAAAGATTAAGAGAGAGGAGGGAAGAGATGTAGAGGCTGAGGATGATTGGGAGGGATGTGAAGGCTGAGAGGATGAGGAGGGATGTGGAGTGGATGGGATGTTCAGTGGAAGCTGAAAGACAAAGATGATATGGAGTAGTGTGTGAGGGGAGCGGTACAAAGAGAACGGTTGAAGAACGTTGCAAGGAGAACGGTTGAAGAATGATACAAGAAGGATGGGTCAAGGAACGGTACATGGAGGGTAGCAGACTAACATACAGAGAGGGAGTAGGATGAGGAAGTAAACATCGTAAGATGTTTAACATCGTAAGATGTTTAACATCGTAAGATGTTTAACATCGTAAGATGTTAAACAGTGTTTAATCCAACGATGGAAGTCATCAGACCACAAAGCTCTCAGGGAGCCGTCGACCAGGACCTGGCTGAAGCCGTCGACCAGGACCTGGCTGAAGCCGTCGACCAGGACCTGGCTGAAGCCGTCGACCAGGACCTGGCTGAAGCCGTCGACCAGGACCTGGCTGAAGCCGTCGACCAGGACCTGGCTGAAGCCGTCGACCAGGACCTGGCTGAAGCCGTCGACCAGGACCTGGCTGAAGCCGTCGACCAGGACCTGGCTGAAGCCGTCGACCAGGACCTGGCTGAAGCCGTCGACCAGGACCTGGCCGCCGCTCAACAAAGACACTCGCGCCCAAAGATTATAAGATGACGCTAATTTTAATTTAGGTCAGGTGGTTAGGCTGTGTGGCGATTATTTGTATTTGCAGTACGTGGGTGAAGCATTTATAGCGTTGTGGTTCGAACAAAATTCGTCAGTGAAGCACTTGTTCCGGAAGTGTTCGGACGTCATCAGTTGTGAGTCGCGTGTAAACCGTTTTTCATTCATAAACAGCTGGGGTTTGGCGGGTGGATGGAATGGAATTTTGGCCTTTGTTTATGAGGCAGCCCGTCCTCCAAACAAAGACCCAAAAGTGATTCCATGCACCCGCCAAACCCCAGCTGTTTATGAATGAAAAACGGTTTACACGCGACTCACAACTGATGACGTTCGAACATATCCGGAACAAGTGCTTCACTGACGAATTTTGTTCGAACCACAACGCTGTAAATGCTTCACCCACGTACGGCAAATACAAGTAATCGACAGAAGCTAAACACCTAACCTAACCAGTGCCTAAATATGCACAATATGCTAATATATAATAATATTAATTTATATTTGAGAAAAGTTCTGTTTTGAATGAACAGAATGTTATCCCCCTAAAAAAAACAAGTGGCCAAATGCTCGTTAATCAAAGCTACGGGCTCTCCATAGCCCGTGCTACTTGGAACTTTGTTTCAAGTAGCTCGTTAATCCAGCCGCCAATGACACCTTCATAAAGTTCACCGTAGCGGAAGAATCAGTCCAAATAATACGATCACTACAGAATAATTAACAATTATACCTCTTCCTTGAAAAGAATTTCACTAAATTCCAACAACAGTTTGAAAAGATTTGTTCTCCCAGACGAGCATTCCTCTTCTCTGTGTTCATGCGGGATAAGTAGTTTTCTTTAGTGGTGAATTATGGGGGACTAAAGTATGCTTGCGGCTGTACCGTCCGCGAGTGGCACGCTCTTTATAACCCTCCAGAGGTTAATAAGCCTTCTCCCAGCACACCCATAACGTTATCTCTTACGTTATTACAATGTTGCAACAACGTTGTTACAACGTAATACCGACAAACACCTTGTGGATAAGTTGAGTTTCCTGGGAAGCCCAACACCATCTGGCTTCAGTCTCGACTCACAATCGGAGGATCCCGGGTTCGATTCCCGTGCGGGACAGAAACAGTTGAGTACGTTTCCTTTCACCTACTGTGTCTGATGTTTTAGCAGTAAATAGGTATCCGGAAGTTAGGCAACGGTTATGGAGGTTGTATCCTCGGGAGGGTCAGTACTTCCACCTTATGTTGGACCTCGATACAAGCCTAAAGTATATATATATTCACAGGCTTCCTGTCCCAGAGTAAACATAAGAGGAAGGCAGGGAGTGAGTCAGACAGATCTGAGAGGAATGTCAGCACAGCAGTAAAATAGGTACCTGGGTGTTAGTCAGCTGTCACGGGCTGCTTCCTGAGGGTGGAGGCCTGGTCGAGGACCGGGCCGCGGGGACACTAAAGCCCCGAAATCATCTCAAGATAACCTCGTATAGTGTGGTTCTGACAGCGTCAGTGGAGGTGCTTGGCTGCTGTGGCGAGGAAGGTTGCTTCTGTTTTTTGCCCGAAGTGACCCAAGAGACACAGTGTGTAGCGTATTACACCCCCGGGACCTGGTGACGGTGTGGCCAGTTGGTCCACCCCCTGCACGACGGTGTGGCCAGTTGGTCCACCCCCTGCACGACGGTGTGGCCAGTTGGTCCTCCCCCTGCACGATGGTGTGGCCAGTTGGTCCACCCCCTGCACGACGGTGTGGCCAGTTGGTCCACCCCTGCACGACGGTGTGGCCAGTTGGTCCACCCCTGCACGACGGTGTGGCCACTTGGTCCTCCCCCTGCACGACGGTGTGGCCAGTTGGTCCACCCCTGCACGACGGTGTGGCCAGTTGGTCCACCCCTGCACGACGGTGTGGCCAGTTGGTCCTCCCCCTGCACGACGGTGTGGCCAGTTGGTCCACCCCTGCACGACGGTGTGGCCAGTTGGTCCACCCCTGCACGACGGTGTGGCCAGTTGGTCCACCCCTGCACGACGGTGTGGCCAGTTGGTCCTCCCCCTGCACGACGGTGTGGCCAGTTGGACCACCCCTGCACGACGGTGTGGCCAGTTGGTCCACCCCTGCACGACGGTGTGGCCAGTTGGTCCACCCCTGCACGACGGTGTGGCCAGTTGGTCCACCCCTGCACGACGGTGTGGCCAGTTGGTCCACCCCTACACGACGGTGTGGCCAGTTGGTCCACCCCTGCACGACGGTGTGGCCAGTTGGTCCCCCCCTGCACGTCGGTGTGGCCAGTTGGTCCTCCCCCTGCACGACGGTGTGGCCAGTTGGTCCACCCCTGCACGACGGTGTGGCCAGTTGGTCCACCCCTGCCCGACGGTGTGGCCAGTTGGTCCACCCCAGCACGACGGTGTGGCCAGTTGGTCCACCCCTGCACGACGGTGTGGCCAGTTGGTCCACCCCTGCACGACGGTGTGGCCAGTTGGTCCACCCCTGCACGACGGTGTGGCCAGTTGGTCCACCCCTGCACGACGGTGTGGCCAGTTGGTCCACCCCTACACGACGGTGTGGCCAGTTGGTCCACCCCTGCACGACGGTGTGGCCAGTTGGTCCCCCCCCTGCACGACGGTGTGGCCAGTTGGTCCTCCCCCTGCACGACGGTGTGGCTAGTTGGTCCACCCCTGCACGACGGTGTGGCCAGTTGGTCCACCCCTGCACGACGGTGTGGCCAGTTGGTCCACCCCTGCACGACGGTGTGACCAGTTGGTCCACCCCTGCACGACGGTGTGGCCAGTTGGTCCTCCCCCTGCACGACGGTGTGGCCAGTTGGTCCACCCCTGCACGACGGTGTGGCCAGTTGGTCCACCCCTGCACGACGGTGTGGCCAGTTGGTCCACCCCTGCACGACGGTGTGGCCAGTTGGTCCTCCCCCTGCACGACGGTGTGGCCAGTTGGTACACCCCTGCTCGACGGTGTGGCCAGTTGGTCCACCCCCTGCACGACGGTGTGGCCAGTTGGTCCACCCCTGCACGACGGTGTGGCCAGTTGGTCCACCCCTGCACGACGGTGTGGCCAGTTGGTCCACCCCCTGCACGACGGTGTGGCCTCCCACGCTCTCTCGTGCTCACAGGACACCTCTCGTGCTATTCCGTTTTCTCTGTCGGTTACTCTTGCTCTCACACTCTCCCGTACACGCATGCACCCTCCCGTGCTCACCTACATCCTCCCCGTGCACTCCTACGCCCTCTCGTGCACTCCTCATCCCCTCCGTGCACTCCCACGCCCTCCCGTGCACTCCCACGCCCTCCCGTGCACTCCCACGCCCTCCCGTGCACTCCCACGCCCTCCCGTGCACTCCCACGCCCTCCCGTGCACTCCCACGCCCTCCCGTGCACTCCCACGCCCTCCCGTGCACTCCTAAGCCCCTCTCGTGCTCTCCCACGCCCTCCCGTGCACTTCCACATCCTCCCGTGCACGTTCACATCTTTCCGTGCACTCCCACATCCCCCCGTGCACTCCCGTGCACTTCCACGCCTTTTTGTGCACTCCCACGCCCTCCCGTGCACTTCCACGCCCTCCCGTGCACTTTCACACCCTCCCGTGCACGTTTACATCCTCCCATACACTCCCGCGGCCTCCCGTGCACTCCCACGCCCTCCCGTGCACTCACTGTATGGTTCCGTGTTTGGAGGATACATAATTAAACCTTTTGCTAAATACAGCAGAACTTTCCTGAATGACAATGAATTATATCTCTTAGGAAGGATCGAAATATAACCTATAATTTGACCCCTTAATTACTAAACTGCCTCGAGTGGAAAACTGGTATAACGTTAAGCGTTGTGTAAGAGTAACTTTTAAAGAGGGAGATGTCAGTTGGCTCGGGTCGAGAGACGGTTATTTTACGCGGGAAATTCAAACTTCTTTTAATTTGCTAAGGATGCATTAACGCAAACACTGTGTTTGTTTGTTTGTTTCTTCAGCACAAACACTGTTCACTAAAAAAAAAAAAAGGTAAATATATATGCTGTATCGCAATTTAAAATTGATTTAAGCTTATACTTGCTATTAAGAACCCGTATTAATTAACAAACTTTTATAATGATAGCGATTGATTTTTTTATTAGGAACATATAATTTTTTTTTTTTATATTCATCGATTCATTCCCGTGGCTCAGCTTCCGTACACAAATGCCGATACAGATAGTTCTCTCTCTAAGACCTAAAGAGCAAAAAGCATTCGAATTCTTGCCCTATTTGGCAAGGTTCGAAACGCCCTCAGACAATTCACCTGAGCCCAATAACTATGACGCCAATACCAAGCGGCAACTGGCTAGCCTATCACATGAAGGTGGCGGAGTAGGTCCCTAATGGAGTTGTGGCAAATGTCTTTAGAGGTAACTTGCCTTAGATGGGTTTGGCCTGAAACGGTGAGGGGTCTCGAACCAGGGAAGCCGGGCCTGGAAAGTGGGAAGTCGGACCTGGAAAGTGGGAAGCCGGGCCTGGAAAGTGGGAAGTCGGACCTGGAAAGTGGAAAGTCGGGCCTGGAAAGTGGGAAGCCGGGCCTGGAAAGTGGGAAGTCGGACTGGAAAGTGGAAAGTCGGGCCTGGAAAGTGGGAAGCCGGGCCTGGAAAGTGGAATGTCGGGCCTGGAAAGTGGAATGTCGGGCCTGGAAAGTGGAAAGTCGGGCCTGGAAAGTGGAATGTCGGGCCTGGAAAGTGGAATGTCGGGCCTGGAAAGTGGGAAGTCGGGCCTGGAAAGTGGGCAGTCGGGCCTGGAAAGTGGGAAGTCGGGCCTGGAAAGTGGGAAGTCGGGCCTGGAAAGTGGGAAGTCGGGCCTGGAAAGTGGGAAGTCGGGCCTGGAAAGGAAAATCCCAGAATTGGAATGAGGGAGAGACAGGGTCTGGAATGGGGAAAGGAGCTGGAATATAGAAGGTAGAGTCTGGAGGGAGAGACACAGGGACTGGAGTGCGGGGGGACCTTGGTGCTGGAACGGGGGGAGACCAGACCAGGAAGAGCGAATACCAGTCCTGGAAAGGGGAAGAGTCCGGGCCGGAAAGGGCGGCTGGAATGGGGACGACAAACCCTGAAAGAGGAACACATGGGCAGAAGAAGCGAGACTGGGACCAGAAAGGAGGATACCGGACCTGGAAAAAGAGGGATAGACAGGGAGTGGAAGGGAAGAACGACCTGGAAGTAGGTCAGTCTAGGCCATCGACCCACCAGTTGGCTTCTCACAACAGTTCATTCATTTAGTTTTGTTTTCCTAGTGTTATACTATCTCTGTGACCCTGTATACGCCATCTCTAATGGTATATATATATATATATATATATATATATATATATATATATATATATATATATATATATATATATATATATATATATATATATATATATATATATTATTAAATATGACCGAAAAAGTAAGATTAATAATTCTAACACGAATTTTCTCAATCTTTCGTACATTACGCTTCACTGTTGGAGGTAAATCAAAAATCAACTGACGATTTACTATAAAACCAGAAAAACGGCCAGCCTACTCATGAGAAACTCTCCAGACACAAAACAGAACGCTTTAAAAGAGACTAATGTCGTCTATGCCTTCAAATGCCCACTTGGGGACTGTAAGCTCCAAAAAACCCAGTATATAGGCAAGACAACAACATCTCTTTCTAGGCGTTTAACGATGCATAAGCAACAGGGCTCCATTAAGGAACATATAATCTCTTCCCATAACCAAACCATCGCCAGAGAAATCCTAGTAAACAACACAGAAATCATCGATAGATACAGCGATAGCAGGCGGCTTGACGTTTGCGAGGCACTACACATCAAGAAGTCAACACCAGCAATCAACAGCCAATTATTGCACAACTATATTCTACCCACCTCAAGACTCCGCTCCAATATAGAAGCATCAAGAAATATGGACCAATAGGCTTTCTACAAACACTTCTATTCAATTCCCATTGTTTCTGTTCTGTCTTGTGTTGATACTTTTAATACCCTATTAATATCCCCTCCTGTTCTGTTTTGTGTTAATGCCACATCACCCTTCCCACCTCACTCAAATGTAGATATAAAATCAGGGAAATGCAAGTTCTAATCAGTTGTGTATTTGTGAAGTCTTTGAAAATGTAATAAGTTTTACGAAACGCGCCCGTGTCGCGTCAGACTAGAAATAAAAATGAATTTTGGAGAAGTGATTTTTGATTTACCTCCAACAGTGAAGCGTAATGTACGAAATATTGAGAAAATTCGTGTTAGAATTATTAATCTTACTTTTTCGGTCATATTTAATAATATATGTCTACAGGAAAGACTGCTACCAAAATATACTAATATATATATATATATATATATATATATATATATATATATATATATATATATATATATATATATATATATATATATATATATATATATATATATATATATATATATATATATATATATATATATATATATATATATATATATATATATATATATATATATATATATTCACGAAAATGTAAAAGCGTTCCCTAAAGGTACATATTTTAATAGTCCTGAATAAGCATCCCTTTAAAGGAATATATTTTCGTGGAAAGGTGTAAGGTTTCTCCTTTTAACGAGATGCAAATGGCTGATCAAACAAAGTGCCTTTAATTAAGGTATATAACTTCTTGGACCTGTATAAGCGTTCCCTAAACGTATATACCTTAGTGGTTGACCTTTATATGGGTCACCTGAAGGCTTTCGTCGTGGACACTGCATTAACGCCGTTCCCCGGGGTATATATACTCGTGTATACTCTGGATTAACACTTCCACATATACAGTATACCCCCTTTTGGGATCTGGAGTATAGCTCGGGTATGTCTGTAACTTCCACCACCTCAGCATCCAGGAGATAACACATATTATTAATCAACTTCCTACCATCTTCTTTGGGAGCTTGTGTTTCAAATGTAGATTGGATAAGGTAAGGCTGGGCTAGGTTAGGATAAGGTAAGGCTGGGCTAGGTTAGGATAGGTAAGGCTGGGCTAGGTTAGGATAGGTAACGCTGGGCTAGGTTAGGATAGGTAACGCTAGGCTAGGTTAGGATAAGGTAAGGCTGGGCTAAGTTAGGATGGGTAACGCTGGACTAGGTTAGGATAGGTAACGCTAGGCTAGGTTAGGATAAGTAACACTGGGCAAGGTTAGGATAAGTAAGGCTGGGCTAGGTTAGGATAGGTAAGGCTGGGCTAGGTTAGGATAAGTAAGGCTGGGCTAGGTTAGGATAGGTAACGCTAGGCTAGGTTAGGATAGGTAAGGCTGGGCTAGGTTAGGATAAGTAACACTGGGCTAGGTTAGGATAAGGTAAGGCTGGGTTAGGTTAGGATAAGGTAAGGCTGGACTAGGTTAGGATAGGTAACGCTAGGCTAGGTTAGGATAAGTAACACTGGGCTAGGTTAGGATAAGGTAAGGCTGGGCTAGTTTAGGATGGGTAAGGCTGGGCTAGGTTAGGATAAGTAACGCTGTGCTAGGTTAGGATAGGTAACGCTGGGCTAGGTTAGGATAAGGTAAAGCTGGACTAGGTTAGGATAAGTAAGGCTGGGCTAGGTTAGGATAGGTAAGGCTGGGCTAGGTTAGGATAAGTAAGGCTGGGCTAGGTTAGGATAAGTAAGGCTGGGCTAGGTTAGGATAGGTAAGGCTGGGCTAGGTTAGGATAAGTAAGGCTGGGCTAGGTTAGGATAAGTAAGGCTGGGCTAGGTTAGGATAAGTAAGGCTGGGCTAGGTTAGGATAAGGTAAGGTTGGGCTAGGTTAGGATAAGTAAGGTTGGGCTAGGTTAGGATAAGTAAGGCTGGGCTAGGTTAGGAAAGGTAAGGCTGGGCTAGGTTAGGATAAGGTAAGGCTGGGCTAGTTTAGGATAGGTAACGCTGGGCTAGGTTAGGATAAGTAAGGCTGGGCTAGGTTAGGATAGGTAACGCTGGGCTAGGTTAGGATAAGTAAGGCTGGGCTAGGTTAGGATAGGTAAGGCTGGGCTAGGTTAGGATAGGTAAGGCTGGGCTAGGTTAGGATAGGTAAGGCTGGGCTAGGTTAGGATAAGTAAGGCTGGGCTAGGTTAGGATAGGTAACGCTGGGCTAGGTTAGGAGGTTAGGATAAGGTAAGGCTGGGCTAGGTTAGGATAAGTAAGGCTGGGCTAGGTTAGGATAGGTAAGGCTGGACTAGGTTAGGATAGGTAAGGCTGGGCTAGGTTAGGATAAGTAAGGCTGGGCTAGGTTAGGATAGGTAAGGTTGGGCTAGGTTAGATTATGTGTGCTAAAAGGTTTGGGTCAGGTTTGTTTAAAGGTACAAAAGCGCATCAACATTAATCTGTATAACAGGTTAAAGTGTCTAGGATAGACAGCCCGAGTAAAATATGGTAGTAACTATATATGATCA